ATGGTGGACTTTCAGCTTCCCTATCTCTTCCTTGCTGCTTTAGCAGATGCTCTATTAAGCACTTACAAGCTCTGGGAGAAAGTTTTTTTGGAGGAAAAGATTTAGCTGTGGAACATTTCCAGAATTAAATCTTCAGGTAATTTGATCTTCACCAAATTACAAACCAATAAATAACAAGACTAATAAACACTGGTTGGTTTCAGGTGGAGGCTTTTTGAGCAGAAGCACTCTCATTTTTATTGTGTTTACAAAATGTGGCTCTCTGATGCTGTCTTTGTAAAATAGACAGAGATTCTTTAATTTTAAGGGAAATTTGGATGTGAGAGAGCAGCACCCTGGAGATTCTGGGGGGAGTTTTACAGCAGGGTACAGCAAAACCGAGACAAGACTCCACTGCAGTGCATTCTGAATAAAACCAATGACGGTGCTGATGCCATGAGCCTGAGCTTTTTATGTATTAAAGGGCAACAGAAGCAGCACATATTTACACCCACAAGCTGCATATAAAGGTGCACAGCAATCACAAAAGAGTGAAATTCTTCAAAATTACTAAAAAGAAGCTCCAATGTCCCCTGGTGTTGCCCCAGCTATTCAAACCAAGCAGCTGAAATGACTCTGCAGGAGGATCTGCTCTCTGAGCTCTCCTTGGATAATTCCTGTTATTCCATTATAAAGGTGGAAGAAGTGTTTGGCCACACAGTCACCATTTAAAAAAAAATTAAAAAAGAAAATGCAGATCCTGTCCTAGTATTAAATTATTCTCTCTATTCTGGCACATGTGCCAGGAGGCTGGCTCGTTGTTCAAGCTCTAACAGTTGGCCATAATAAAAGATATTACTTCTTCCCACAACCCTTACCTCTCTTGCAGCCTCACTGGAGACCATAACAGCTACAAGAGCATTACTGCTATTAAATTAGTGGCATCACTATTCCTCATTTTCAGAATGTTTGGCTGTTTCCCCTGATGCTGAATAGGGCAACTAATTTACTAGCAAATTAATACTGCTTATCTTTTCTTTCCTGAGAGCTCTGCTGCCTCCTGCTTTCCCTGGCTTTCCCCAGGGACACATCTGTGGCCTAGCTTGAAATGTGCCACCCTGAAAAGTGGGACAAGGGCAGCTCAGTTTGGTGAACCTGGCACCACCACACAGCCCAGATCAGGAGGTGCCAAGGCCAAAGGCTTTTGGCTTTGCAATGAAATTTTTTCCTAAACAAAACTCACCCCTGCATGTGAGGCAGAACCTTGGGAGTGTTGGTTGTGTGCTGGCCCAGTGCCCAAGGAGGCAGTTTGCAAAAAGCCCTGCCCAGGGGCACCTGGCAGCACGATGGGTACCCTGTGGAGCTCCACATTTTGGGACATTTGCAGTGTCCTCCTCCCCTCCAGAGCCTCTTACCCGGGGGCTGAGGGGCAGCTGAGAGCACCTGTAGGGAAGGATGATGCCATGGCCCTTGGCCCCTTACAGAATCAGAGAATCATTAAAAGACCTCTGAGATCATTGATCAGATCCTTTTTCCTATTTTTTTTCCATGCATCAAAAACTCTGCTCTGTAACACCTTTCTCATTTGGGGTAAGGAACGAGCTCTTCACCCATGACAAGAAAGAAAAGAGAAGTAGAAACATTGTAAAACAAATCCTTCTTTATCAGATTGACAGGGCTTCAGCCTGTGGGATTTGGTCAGAGAAAAGCAATGTTCCCTCCTGCTCCTCACTCCCAAACCTCCCAGCCTGCCCTCTGCAATTGGAAATGTGGAATTGCTGAACAGGAGCTCTGGCAAGAGCTACAAGTACCCCATCATAAAGTCCAGGCTATCCACTTTACTGCACAGTAATCTGTTTTACTGCTTGTATTATAGTGACAGAATTGTTTTCTGCAACCTAGTTGAGATTAAGAAACTGGGGGATAAGACACATTAACTTCTGTAATATATATTGCCAGAGCCCTGGCTGGTGTAAAACAGCTTCCTGGGGGAATTCAGCAGAAAGTGAAGGGCAGAAACAGTCCTGGCTGCTGATTTTCAGTTTTAGTCTGAAAAACTGGAACTCCTTTGGTGCTACAAGCAAAGCCTCAGGTGGTCACTGTAAATCTGCAACCATGCTGTCAAAATCAACACAGCTTCTCCAGCGGAGATTTGGGTTAGTTCATGTATTTTCAGAAAATAAGCTTCATTTGCATTATTTATGAAATGCAAATGCAAGCTCTGCTACAGTGTAAGCAGCACAGTCCAAAACAAGTCCTTAGACCAAGGAGAGCACCAAGGAAAGCAGGCACTGTGTCAACAAAAGCTGTGGCCAGTGAAAACATCAACCTCTGTGTGCCCTGCAGGGCACCAGGCTGCCCCTGGGGCTGCAGGCAGCTGGGGTGGGGCAGGGATTGCCTTCCATGGCCACACCTGGCACAGCAGATTGGCCTCCCCACACCCCAGGGACGTGTCCCCCCCTCCAGGGACGTGTGCCTGGTGCTTCGTGTGCTCAGAGCCCCCAGTGTCCCCACAGGGCTGCAGGCAGCATCAGCACACACAGCCTGTGGCCCTTCTGCCTCCCTGGGCAGAGGAAGGGAAGGGATGGACATGCTGTGGCAGTGATCATCTGCTTTGGTAGCTCTCTTAGCTGCTCAGGAGTACATTGAAATCTTGGCTTTTTTAGAATTTCTTATTTTGGCAAGATTAGCAAAAATGTTTTCTGTTTTTTCAGCAGAGCAAATCAAGCCTTGCATGCCCACAGTTCCAACAGGCACTGCCACAGAGCAAAGCCTGGGCAGCTCAGAGGAGCTGCCCTTTAACGAGGATTTCCAAATCACTGGAGTCATGCATTAGCTACACCCACTGTGGTGTTAAATGCCCAGTCAGTCAAAGCAGAGTGTTAACCACACTCTTGGGCACTCCTGTTTCATTGCTCCATGCTCCAGCAGCTCCCACCATGCCCTGTCTGCAGCCCCTGAGGCACCCAGCACCTCAGCCAGGGGCACAGGGAGCATCCCAAGCACCCAGAGCACAGGAGGGGAGGCTGGCAACTGGACACTGAGCAGCTGCAAGCAACAGATTGTACAAAGAGATTGTTTGGAGGATTTTTTACTAACAAAACAGGATGGGATGCTGGGATACATTCCTTGAGCTTTTATTGCAGCATCAGCTTCACTACGTGGTTGAGACAATAGAAAGATGACAAAAGCTCGTGTACAACCAGCAGCAGCCAAAGACTTCTTTGTTACAGAGCATTTTAAGAACTTTCCAGCCAATAGCATATTGCTAAAGCTTACAAACAATTGTTGTGGCCAACCACTAAAAGCACACATACACCTGCTGCACACAATGCTTCCCTGTATGCCTTCTATCAACAATATACAATACACTATTATTAAGCTTAAAACTTTTTACTATCTTGCTAAGCATATTTTTGTACAGTCTTAAGGTCTATCTTAACCAAACCTAAAGCCCAAGCTATTGTTTCATGTCCTTGCTTGCTATACTATTGCAACTTTTTCTACTTTCAGACTTGGCAGCTGCAGCTAGTTCTATGTTTTCTGTTCTTTCTGTTTCTAAAACTTACTTTTACAGCTTTCTAGAAATCATCTGAGCTTTACTATTTCCCTCAACAGTCACCTGCAATTCAGCTGTATCACGCCCCACATCATTCATCAGGGAGAGTGAAGTTAAAGCTCCTGCAAGAAGGCAGGAGATGCTCAGTTAATCAGGATAAAAGCCCACTGCAACATCCCAGGTACAGAGCACACAGCACTGACTTGGAACACTTGGAGAGACAGAGAAGAAGGTGGGTTGGAAAATGAGCAGCTGGAAGGGGGCAGAGGGGATCAGAGCAGCATTTCACCTGCTCCAGCACCTTGTTGGCCATGAGCTGAACCCCAAGAGGCTCAGGCTCCCCATCCAAATCCCTGTGAGCAATTTGGGGTGCTGCCAGGTGCAGGGTGGATGTTCCTCACTTGGTCATGGTCAGGCACAGAGAATCTCTTCCATATCAGGGGAGGGGACAACATTTTTTCATTGGAACACAAAGCAGAGCTGCCAACAGCTCACAGAGGCATCCAGGGAGCCCACAGGTAAATGCTTTGGCATATTTATTGCAGTGTAATGGGACAGCCAATGGGACAACAGCACTGGCACAAGCAGGGGATTTCTCTCTCTAAACCACTGCTTGGGTTCTGCCCTCCAAGTGCTCCATTTGTGGGTTCTTGTGTAGGAACTAATATAGGAACTAATATAGGAACTTTGGAACTATAGGAACTTTGCAGAGCTCATCTCTGTAGGACCAAGTCTGGGTTACAGCAGAGTGGATTACAATAGGTTCTGACTCAAGCCTCACTTCTACCCTACAAACTTATACAAAGCAACTTTTATTTTCACTAGCAACTGTGTTGTTCAAGAAGCACTACAGTGCATTATTAAGGGAAAAATAAAACCACCTTTGTAAAAACAAAGATTATTCTCAGAATTTCTTTAATTGACAGGATAAATATTGATGAAGCTTCCTGCAATTGCAGTGTGGTTCCTGTCCACCTCCAGCTGAAGATTTAATCAAGGGCAGCCCATGTATTTCATTCAGTCATGAAAGTGATATTGAAATCATAAAAAAGAGCAGAGTTACAAGCACTGCTTTACAACCCCTAGGAATGACTGGCCATTTCATTGCTGTCATTATCAGCTGCCACAATAAACAAGCAGCTACTTAATTTATTATTCTACTCCACACTCAGCCCTGGCTGAAACCCAGACCTAGTTATTTCACACCAGCCTGTTCTCAGGGCTTTTTCCCCCATGCCCATAGAAAGTTTTCACAGGCAATCCTCTGATTTCTGGGCAGGAGCCCCCCAGGCTCCACATATGACATGTCTGCCTAAACAAACATTTGGAAACACGATCAGAAGGTGAATCTGTGGATGGTGGCCATACCGATGGACACTCGGTTGCTCTGCTCTGGCCCAGAGTGGAGGATTCTGGCTGCTCTTCCAGCCCCGTGCCCGGGGGCTGGTGCAGGAGCACTCACCTGCACCGTAGGTCGTGGCCAGCATGATGGAGGAGACCCAGGCGATCTCGCTATAGGACGTGCCAAAGAAATCCTGGATTTCTTTGAAGAAGATGGCCAAGCCTTTGGGGAAGGCATAGGCGAAGCCGATGGAAACGAAGGCGCCGAAAACAACCACCCATCCCCAGCCGCCGTCCGGCGGGCCGGGAACACGCCCGGCCTCAGCAGGGGCCGGCATGGCCGGGGATGGCTCCGGGGAGCCCTGCAACAGAGGGGCAGGAGTGGGGTCAGAGCCGGGATGCTGCTCCTTTGGACCCTCAGTCCTGGGATGCTGCTCCCCAAACCCGCCCAGTCCTGAGATTCTGCTCCTTTGGACCCTCAGTCCTGGGATGCTGCTCCTCCGGACCCCAGTCCTGAGATTCTGCTCCTCCGGACCCCAGTCCTGGGATGCTGCTCCCCAAACCCGCCCAGTCCTGAGATTCTTCTCCCCTGGACCCCCAGTCCCGGGATGCTGCTCCCTTGGACCCCTCATCCCAGTTTACTGCTCCCCCCACATCTGTAGTCCTGAGATTCTGCTCCTCTGGACCCCTAGTCCAGGATACTGCTCCCCTGGACTGCCAGTCTTGAGACTCTGGACCCCCAGTCCCCAGATGCTATTCTTCTGGACCCCCCAGTCCCAGGATGCTGCTCCCCAAACCCCCAATCCTGAGATTCTGCTCCCCTGCACCCCTAGTCCTTAGACCCTGGACCTGCAGTCCCGGGATTCTGCTCCCCTGGACCCCTCAGTCCCAGATGCTGCTCCCTTGGAACCCCAGTCTCAGGATTCTCCTTCTCCAGACCTCAGCCCTGTGGTATTCCTCCCTGGACCCCCAGCCCGGGACGCTGCTCCCCCCGAGCCCCCTGCCCTGCCGCACACACCTCGGCCCAGGTGAGTCCCTTGTGCTGTGCCGCCCCCGAGCCGCTGGGGCCGCGCCGGGGGAAGGGGACGGGGCAGGAATGCCACGTGTACCGGGGGAGAACCACCAAGAGCGGCTGCAGCCCGCTGCTCCGCCCCGCCCCGGTGCCTGCCGAGCCCCGGGACACTGCCGGGACACTGCCGGGACACTGCTGGGACAATGGTGAGACAATGGTGGGACAATGGTGGGACAATGCTGGGACACTGCTGGGACACTGCCGGGACAATGCTGGGACAATGCTGGGACACTGCTGGGACACTGCTGGGACACTGCCGGGACACTGCTGGGACAATGCTGGGACACTGCCGGGACAGTGCTGGGACACTGCCGGGACACTGCCGGGACACTGCTGGGACAATGCTGGGACACTGCTGGGACAATGGTGGGACACTGCCGGGACACTGCTGGGACACTGCTGGGACACTGCCGGGACACTGCTGGGACAGTGCTGGGACAGTGCTGGGACAATGGTGGGACAATGCTGGGACACTGATGGGACAATGCCGGGACACTGCTGGGACAATGGTGGGACACTGCCGGGACACTGCTGGGACAATGCTGGGACACTGCTGGGACACTGCTGGGACAATGCTGGGACACTGATGGGACAATGGTGGGACACTGCTGGGACACTGCTGGGACACTGCTGGGACAATGCTGGGACACTGCTGGGACACTGCCGGAACAATGCTGGGACACTGCTGGGACAATGCTGGGACACTGCTGGGACACTGCTGGGACAATGCTGGGACACTGCTGGGACACTGCTGGGACACTGCTGGGACACTGATGGGACAATGCTGGGACACTGCTGGGATGCAGGCCCCGCGGGCGGGTCGGACCCAGCTGCGGGGCGCGGCTCTGCCCTGACCGCTCCGCTCCGGGCGGGACCGGCTCCAAAGCTGTCACATCCCTCGCTCCAGCTCCCTGTGCCCTCGCCTTTCCTCGCCCCCAGCAAAGGCAGCAGCACCCCTGACCCCGCGGGCGTTAATTAAACCACCTTCAGTTACTTAAATGCAAATTGTTCTTTTTTACTTCCCTGTGTTTGCACCTGCATCCCTCCTCTTTTCTCAATGTCAGCTCTTTTCTCCTCCATACCAAGTTGTCTGCTGCTCTCCTGCCCCTGGACCACATCATGATTATAAAAGAAAAAGGAGAGTGATTTTTTACACTCCTGCCCCTGGACCACATCATTGTTATAAAAAAAGGAGAGTGATTCTTTACACAGGTAGATGCTGATTGGACAAGAGGGAACAAATTTAAGCTGCAAGAGATTTACATTAGATCTTGGGAGAAAATTCTTCACTGTGGGTGTGACAGGGCATTGGCACAGGTTGCCCACAGAAGCTGCCTCATCCCTGGAAGTGCTCAAGGACAGGTTGGACAGGGCTTGGAGTAACCTGGGACAGGGGAAGGTAGCAGGGGGGTTGGAACGGGATGGGATCTAAGGTCCCTTCCAATCCAATTCAGAATTCTGTGGTTCTGTGATCATTGCAGACTTCTGCCCCCCGTTCATGCTCACCAGTTTGCTGTGTATTCTAGTTTTCACATGGGGCTCTGCTTGGGAAAACATTCAGCAGTGTTTGCTCTGGCTGGGAAGGTGCAGTTTCACCACAGACCTTTTATCTTTCTCAACCTTGCCTCCCCCTGGCTTAGCTAACAGCCCTGTGTGTGTCCCATTTTTCTACTTGCACCACAAAGCAACTGAGAGGGGGAAAAAATCAGGGCCTTGCTCTGCAGTTTACCTGGCACAGTTTATCTGGAGCTTTGAAATCTCCTCACAACACAACTGTAAGATGTTTTATTACTGCCATTTCTTTCTTCCTATAAAACTGAGTAAACTCAAAATGACCAGAATCCTTTACTCTCAGCTGTGGGGTCACAGTGTGATGACTTGGGGAGTTTCATTTTGGTACAGCCCTGACCCATTTCATGGGCTGTGAGGATACCAGCATTCAGTTGTTTCAGTGTTCTGTTAAAAATCAAAAATAAGGCCAAAATGGAATAAACACACCTAAGATTGAGCCTGGCATATCCTCAGCAGGAGCAGGGAAGGTGGGAGGACAGATGGAAAGCCCAGGGAGCAGAGGGATGAAGAAGAAAGTACAACTTCAGCCATGGAAGCTGCAACAATTCTCAGCTGGAAGATGAGAATTTCCTTCTCCAGAACTACTAAATTGTGGGTCATGCTAAAGAATGGCCCCTGCAGCCAACCCAGCAGGGCACCTCTGGGTAAACTTTCACACAAACTCGTGGCAAACTCAGAACTGGAGCAGGACAGCAGTTGCAGCAGGTGATATTGGGGGCAAACAAATGATTTCTAAAGATGTTGAGTGTGGTGTTTGCACTGCTGCTGCTGCTCTGAAGAGAAGCTCAGAAGCAAAGCAGAGCAGCCCCAGGGCAGAGGGTGGGGGTGACACTGGAGATCCTGGCCTCAAAGGTCAGAAAGGACTTCCTGGCAATTCGGGGGCCTTGGGCTCCTCTCAGAGCAGCTGTGCCAGCGCTCCCCCTCCATGTGGGGAGCACAGGCTCTCCCCTGGGACCAGGCTCTGCTTTCCCATCCACTGACAGCAGACACTTCCTGGAGGGCAGGTTTTTTAATTTGCTGGCAAGCAGCAACAAAATTGATTAAAATTGCAAAACACCTTTCCAAATGACTCGTTTCCCTATCACAGTATTCCATGTAAATAAGTGCCTGCTATTGTAATTCCCAGTGCTCCAGAGCTGCTCAAAGAAGAGGGGCATGCAGGAGCAAAGCAGAAGCTGAAACTCTTCCTCTCCCCCCATCTTCCAATCTTCACAAAGCTTTCTGTGACAGTTCCCAGGTCAGGATTTTCTAATCAAATGAACTAATGGCCTTTACTTATTGAAGCCCAAGGTTTGATGGACAAAATTTAAAATTATAGAACCACCGAATGGCTTGGGAGGACAGGGAGCATCCCCCTGGCATGGGCAGGGACACCTTCCAGCACACCAGGTTGTTCCAAGCCCCATCCAACCTGGCCTTGAACATTTCCAGAGATGGGGCAGCCACAGTTTCCCTGGGCAACCTGTGCCAGGGCCTCAGTTCACTTTACCCATATAGTGCAGCACTTAAGTACCCCCCAAAAAAGTGACAAGTGAGGAACAACTTGAGTGTTTTTTCTTGTCTTGGAAAAAGAAAATAAAAAAACAGGGTCAGGGGAAAACCTCTGGGCCCCCTCGAGAATCAAAACTATTTCTGTTTATTTTCAGTGAATGACTTTGGTACTTGGAAATAATTATATTCAAAGCCTTTTATGCAAAGCAGTTTATAGCAGCCAAAGGTAAGAGCTACAACTCTATAACTCCAACAGAGTTTTTCCTTCATTGAGTCTTTGGAAGTCAATTAAAGCCTTTAGAAATTGCTTCCACATTACATAAAAAAATCCATACCTAGCTCTGCTGCTTGAAAACAGCATCTGGTAAATGCCAGAAGAGGTACCTCTGCACTTCTTTAAAGGGCCTTTAATGGCACACCCCATTCCTTAAACCTGCTCTATTGTCATGTTCCATTTGCTCATAAAATGCAGCAGCAGTGAAATCCAATCCACAGCCAGTTAAAATGGCTGAATTAATGGATGAGAATATAGACAGCAATTTTCTGTAAAACCAAAGGGCTGGACCCATGTGATACCATCACTGGAAGATGAGAATTCCCTTCTCCAGAAGGGAATGGCTCCCAAATTGGGTGTCATTCTAAAGAATATCCCCTGCATTTGCCTTGTGTGACCTGTCCTAGGAGAGAGACATCCCAGTCCTCAAAAAATAGGCCCACTTATTTGTGTTCCTAATAAAAGTCTTAACTTTTTCCAAGGGATCAATCCATACAGATACAGAGTAATTCTTGAGAGTAGATTTCAAGTCACCAAAATTCTTGGCTCTGGACTCCAACCAGACATCACCATAAAATGTGAGCTGGGGGACAAAGCATCACTTCCCTTCCCAGGAGCACAGAATTATTACCCCTGTACCTTGTGTTCTCCCCACCTGAGCATGACCAGGCTGATAAAACACATTCCTCTGTGTTTAGCCACAAGATTCCAGCACTCAGGGATTTGCCACTAATATTTCCATGCCTCGGTTTTTAATTAAGGGGAACCTAACTCTGGCTGGTGCCTCCTGGGGCACTGAGCAGCAGGAGGGGTGCAGGCAGCACCCAACCAACACGTTCCAAGAGGCATCTGTTGGTCAAAGATGGTCAGCTCACATCCCCTGACATCTCCTTGGCTGTTTGGGAGGGGGGAACCTTTAATTTCCATGC